TAGACTCATCTCACATCGCTGACTGAATTTCGTCATCATCCCTTGTGAGGGCATCCACGTTCGGCATACTTGGCAAATTATCAAGGTAGGGAATATTACGCTCATGAAATAGCACGTGGGACTCGTACACTCTTGATCTAGCGGGAGGTGGAGGAACATGCTCCCTCGTCAGCTCAGGTTCAACATTCACTTCCTCCTCATCATCACCTTCATCATGGAAGGGTGTGTCATCTCCAGACTCATCTGCATTGTTTTCATAATCACTATCATCTTCCTGAATCTACGCATCTACCAACTCAAGAGTGAATACGTCGTCTATGGGCAACTGTATGAGGTCAGCAACATCAAGAAGCTCATTTTCACTACACAAAAAGAACAAAATGATAAGTTACCCAACTAGATAAATACTTTAGAAATAGATATATCACTTTACTTACAAGTCGTACTGTCTTGACGTTTCATGATGGATATTTTCTTGTTGGTGATGACTCCCGAATGGACCATCGTGATCCAATACTCCAGAACTACGCATATTCTAAATAGAGGCGGGGTCATAACTTGTAAAATTCATATCCGGACGATACCCCCTATGAAAAATATGAGTGTTAATACAAATCCAATTCAAACATAAAATAAACATCGCTAAAGCGTAGAAAAATTGAAGTTTACCAATCGTCTTGTGGATTATATAAAGTCGAAAAATTATTTTGTGGCTGCTCATTCGCCGGTGGTGACAAGTTTAAATCAAGGCAAGCTCTTTCATCGGCAATCTGTCCGGCAAAAACTGCTCCAGAATAACCACCCGATGACTGGGGGGTATCCCTACTATGTACGCCCTCATTATTGGGAACGTCTTCCACCTTGACGTACATTTCCAACAATTTTATTAATAAATTCCTTGTATTTATCCGGAATTCGCAAAAAATATCTAAGAGTTTCATCATCTTCGATGTTAAACTCGGAGTAATAAGCAAACCCCTACGGAGTCACTAAATACGGAAATCTACCAGTTACTTTAAGGTTAACCGAATGCTTCCTCTGACTCATTTTTTTACGTAACAACGATACCAATTTATCGTACTCCATTGTAAGCGGCAATTTAACATGACACCGTGGAGGTGAGCTATACCTCACAGAGTTATTCTCCAGCACAACCTCACCCCCCCCCCCAATATAATGAAACCCTTATTTTTGGCTCTTCAGACATTGTAAAAAAATGATTGATAAGAAGAGGAGAAATGTATGAACGGAAGTTTGAAGGAAAGTATTGAATGGATTTTCATAAAATTCAAACGCCTTTAAATAAGCTTGGGATGCAAATTTTTTTTATGTAAAACGCAGTACAATACCACGTTTTATGTATTTGAATTATTGGTGGGCCCAAATTTTAAAGCAAAATGCAGTATAATACTGTGTTTTCCTTAAAGCAGTATTGTACTGCATTTCCCTTTAATTAAATATAGTTGGGCCCAATATTAATAGGAAAACGCAGTACAATACTGCGTTTTACTTTAACGACTAACTTTTCTTTAAATTAAAATGCAGTATAATACTGCGTTTTAGTTTTTTATGTAACTTTTTTTAGTAGTAAAAACGTATTTTTTGCCCAAAAAGGCATTAGAAAAGTTTCGGGCCCGGTGATAGGTCGGGGTCTCGGGTCTAGTGTTGAAGCCAGAAAATTTAATAAGGATGTTCAAATTTTGAACACCCTCTCCCAGTGGGCTATGCAAGGGTGTTCAAAATCTATTTTTTAATCAAGGAAAAATGGCCAAATATACCCCTATACTTTTTGATATTGTCCATATTTAATCGCCGTCATACTATCGGGCTAAATTTACCACTACAATCAGTAAACTTTAGGAAATTATCCCTTCAGTCCATCAGATAACCCAGAATCTCTCAAATCATTTTAATTAAGTTACTGATTCTTCTTCTTGGTCCATTATTTTCGAAATAATTGGCATTTACATGCTTTCTGAATTGGAGAAAAATATATTAAATAATATAACTGTTAATAAAAAAAGTATTGTAAATTGAAATATCTAAATTAGGTAGCTTTCTAAATTCTAAAAGTATTGACAACAACCCAATTTTAATGAATTCGTTGCACCAAATATATGGAGATTTTGTAAGTATTATAGTGATTGAAGTTGAAGTTCCTCGGAGGGTTAATTATCGAATTCAACTTTGCTTTAATCAAATTCCTGCATATTATGCACTCTTAAGCTAGTCGATCGAACTCTATACTAACCAGGCAATGATAAAATATATTTGAATATACCTTTTCATACATGATGATCAACTGCATATAATACACAATAAATAGACCCACTAAATTCTATGGTATATACATAATTGAAAAATAAATAAAATTTTAAACCAATTTCAAACCCATTATTACAAGAAGAGAAGTGGGTGCATTGGTAATTAAAAAAATTTTATGAATAATTTGTATAGTCTAGTAACTTAACATTCACAACAATAGTAATTTATGAAAATAATGGAGCAAGAAGAATAACATATGATTTAAATAAAAGGAATTTGAGAGATTCTGGAATACTTAACAAATCAAGGGGTAATTTTTAAATGTTTGCTGATGATAGGGGTAAATTTGGCCAGATAAAATAACGGTAGGGGTAAATTTGACTAGGTAATATAACAGAGGTTAAATATAGACAATATTCGAAAGTAGATGGATGGTATAAAAGACCCTTTCCCTTTAATCAATAACAAGTAATATTTTTCCTTATATATAGTATTTTTTTGGTAAAGGGTGTTCAATTGATTATCTTTGGGCCAACATAACTTCGCTCCTCTGGGGCACGGAGTGGGGGAGTGAAGGACGGGGGTGAAAAATTGGGTGGGGAAGGATTAGGGCTGTGCATGGATCAGATCGGATTTAACACATTTCGGATTTCGGATTCCACAAAACGCAATCCGAATCCGATCCGAATTATATCGGATTGCATAATTTCGGATCGGTTTGGTGATCGGATTTTCGGATCGGATTCAACAGTTCATAACAGAACAAAATTAACATAAACAATAGTTCAATTCAACATAGTTCTAATTCTTATGAACATTAGTCCTAATCCACATAGTTCTTGGTCATCTCTATAGTTCTAATTCTTGTGAACAAAGTTCTCGAACATCAGTCCTAATTGACATACACATAGTTAATAATTATAATTCAACAAGAAAAGGAAAGCTGTAAATCCTAATTCTTGTGATAGAATCCATTACATAAACAAAACACAATCTTCATAACAAAACAAAATATACTCAAATCTCAAATATATGTCTAATGAACTGAAATCCTCAACCAGAATTCCTTAATAGACTACACAAAAGAGTTCCAAGTTCCAACTTCTATGGCAATCGCACTCAATCCTGATTCCTGGCACGCTTTCAAGTTCTGCAACACTGCACTTGTAAAAAATGAGAGGATCAGTAAATCACAGCCCTAAGTAAATGAGAGAAACAGTGGTACAAGCAATTTCCACGCATCAGCCATTCAGCCTAATACTGGGCAGAACATTTCTCAAACTTCAAACACACTACAATTGTACATGCTTAAATAAGTATGCAAGCATGTTGCAATATCCACTTCAACAGAACAAAGTATTAATTTGGAAGAAATACCTTAGCAAATGACATATTAGCAAATGCCTCTTTTGGCTACTCTTGCTCTAGCATTTCAAATACTTGGATAAAAGCAGAATTACTAAAGTCTGGGAAATGAAATCCTACCTTCTACATGTCGACGATGCAAGGCTCTCTTCCGGTATTAATAAAGTCTGTAGAATAAGATAGTAATAGAATAAATTAGTTTAAAAATAATCTAAAGANCAGCAGCTTGACTGCTTGGTGGTAGAACAAAACAATACAATAGAGAAGGCTTAATGCAGCAGCTTGGTTCAATTTATTAGAAGGCTTAAGAAAACTTTTAACATGCCACGAACTCGTATCTTTTATATGTCGACGATGCAAGGCTCTCTTCCGGTATTAATAAAGTCTGTAGAATAAGATAGTAATAGAATAAATTAGTTTAAAAATAATCTAAAGAAATATAACATAAGTATACCTTAAACATAAGTAAAGTAATTGAAGAAATAAATAGTCTTACCCGCTTCAAGTTGTTCAAGATTATCTAAATCTTCTTCAATTTTAACCGGAGTTGTTGATTCGTTCCGAAGCCAATCTTGGACACACACAAGAGCTTGAACCAATCTAGGAGTCAATGAACTCCTAAATGGATCAAGTATGCGTCCACCGGTACTAAAGGCTGATTCTGAGGCAACACTAGAAATAGGAATGGCTAGCACATCACGTGGCATCTCAGTAAGTGCGGGAAATCTGGGTGAATTCAACTTCCACCACCCCAGAATTTTAAAATTTTCAAAGTCTTCCTCAACATCTTCACCCAAATATTTATCTAACTCTGTTTTAGAATCAATTCCTTCACCCTTCTTATGCTTCTTTAAATCTAACATGAATTTTGAAAGCGATGATGAAGAAGTAGATGAAGTTGGAGAAGATGGACATGAATCAGGGGAAGATGGAGAAGATGGACATGAACCGGAAGATGGAGAATATGGAAATGAACCAGAACCACCATTCTTCTTTGCATACACATTGAACAAAGATTCCATGTATGTCTTCACCTCAATTTGTATTTTCACACCTATTGTTTCTCCAAACATGGCAGCAAGAGCAAACGAAAGAGATTGAAACTTGTGGCGTGGATCGAACACACATGAAATAAAAATCATTTTGTTCATCTTTTGTGGATCCCCCCAATACTTATCAAACTTCTCTTTCATATTATTTGCCATTTCTTTCAAGGTAGCATCTTCACTTTGCATCAACTCTTTCAAAGAAGAACCAACAACACATATCTCAAGAAAGTGCACATTAGATGTAATATAAAGTGTACCTGGTACCTTCAAGGTGAGTTCATAAAATATTTCAAGAAACTTTACAATACATCTTACACTATCTCAATCAGTACTTAAAAGTGGACCTATAGGCTGTCCATCCTCACAAATACAGTTAAAAATACATGACATCAAACCATAATCAATATCACAATATTTTGTAAAGGCTTCCTCATAAACTGTAGCAACCTTCAACATCAAATATGTGGAGTTCCACCTAGTAGGAACATCCAAGCACAATGATTTTTTGGAAGTTATCCTATCGAGATCACAACATTCTTTAAACTTCTTCCATCTTGCTAGAGATTGTCTAATGTACCTAACAACTTGTCTTATTCGTTCCACAGACACACTCTGNTTCTTGTCAATGTAATGTGTTGTAACACACATATAGTTAATTCTTTGAATTGATGTCCATGTATCAGTCGTAATACAAATTCTCTGTTTTGATTCTTTAAAAATTGACTTCAAAGCAAGTTTTTCATCATGGTAAATCTCAAAACAATCTCTAGTCATAGTAGTACGAGATGGAATATGAAATAAAGGTTGAAGAGCTCTCACGAAGTCTCTAAATCCATCCTTTTCAACAGAAATGAAGGGTTGTTCATCTATAATTATCATACGAGCTAAAGCCCTCCTACATGCCTCTTGATCAAATTTCCAAGGGATAAGTGAGACATCACCTGTTTGACCTTTCGGTTGAAAAGCTAATTTTGTCTGGCTTGTCTCCGGCTTGTGGGGATTGTTCGGACACTTGAGAAGATGTGATAGCAAATTGCTTGTACCACTGTTTTTGGTGTTAGCTACATATTCTTCTGGACAGTACTTGCATTTCGCTTTTTTAACACCCTCGTCATCAGTGAACTTACTGAAGTATCGCCNTCTCTAAATCCATCATTTTCAACAGAAATGAAGGGTTGTTCATCTATAATTATCATACGAGCTAAAGCTCTCTTACATGCCTCTTGATCAAATTTCAAAGGGATAAGTGAGACATCACCTGTTTGACCTTTCGGTTGAAAAGCTAATTTTGTCTGGCTTGTCTCCGGCTTGTGGGGATTGTTCGGACACTTGAGAAGATGTGATAGCAAATTGCTTGTACCACTGTTTTTGGTGTTAGCTACATATTCTTCTGGACAGTACTTGCATTTCGCTTTTTTAACACCCTCGTCATCAGTGAACTTACTGAAGTGTCGCCAAGCCACTGATCTTTCTTTCATAATTTTTCTTTTCTTCGAACCAAAATCAGATTCGACGTTGCTTGTGGAATCATTTGAAGCACCACTTTCACCACATTTTACAAGAGCTTGAACTTTATTCACCATCTCTACCTCATCTTCCATCTACGAAACAAAACAAAAAATTAAAAGTAAAATCGGATTCAAAATAGTAGTATAGTATGGTCTATTTCTATTTAAGAAAGTCAAGAGTGAAACCCCCAATTTATTTCATCAATTTTATCCAAGAAATAAAAGAGAACAAACACTTCCTTTAAGCTCTAAGAAAGGGGGAGAAAGAGAGAGAGAGAACGAGAGAGAAGAAGTGAGTCTTAGTGTCTTACCAGTGCGGTCGCCGGTCGCCGGTCGCCGGAACACAGAGAAGAGATAGAGGAAGCGACGAGCAGGAGCAGCTTGAGCCGGCGTGAAGTGAGCAGCAGCCAGCAGTCTCTGCCTCTCTGGGTGTGAGGCGTGAAGTGAGGGAGCAGCAGAATGAAATAAGATCTAACCGGCTAACCCTAACAATAAAATTAGTATTTATACTTCCCTTAATAAATTCGGATTTCAGATCGGATCGGGTTCAAACTATACAAATCCGAATCCAATCCGAAAATCCGAAATTTTAATAAATCAAATCCGAATCCGATCCAAATATCCGAAATCCAAAATCCGAAATTGAGCGGATCAGATCGGATTTCGGATATCCGATACAAATGCACAACCCTAGGAAGGATATAAAAAAGTTTTCTGGAAGTCATTTTAATCCAATTATGAGGAAAATATAAATATTTAAGCAACCAAATCCTCCGTACAAAACGCCTAAAAGCTAAAAAAAATTCAACTTTTCTATTTGTGTAACTGTTAATAAATTGTTTTGTTCATAATGGTTAAATTAAAAAGTGAAAAATCCTTTCACCAAAGTTAGTTCCAATCTTGGAAGTCTACTTTGAAGTCATAAATGTCATAATTAGGTTAGGTGGCTAATCTAGTCATAATATTATCATCAAAAGGGTGCCCAAATCAAGAAAAGAAAAAAACAAAAGAAGGTGTAGGGGTTGAGGGTAGGGTGGGTAAAGAGAGTGAAAGTAGGACTGTTTGTATTACATGTGATGACTGAATGGATAATAGTTTTGTTTTTTTCCTTTGCCTTTTTCTTTTTTAGAAAAAAGTTTTATGTACTGTACTTTTTTATATGAGAAATTTGGGAAAGCAAAGGAAATAGTTAGTAGTAGCATATAGTTAATGTAGTTTTCAGGTGGGGAGAAAACAGCACAAAAATACATCTTAGCATCAAACCAAGAGCCAAAACTAAGCAAATGTTTGTATCAAATCAGTATGCTTGCAAATGGATCCATCTTTTTCAAGTCATTCATTAACCAAAGCAAAAGGTCTCACCCTTTCTTTAGCCTCGGTTCTTCCTTTTTTTTTATTTTCTTTTTTTTTTTTAGAATTTTCTTGAATGAATTTTGGAGTTTGAAAATATGGGGATCATAAAAAAGGTGTAAAGCATAGTTCTTTGAAGTTTTCAGGGGATTTTCTGTTTTAAACATCTGATTCTTGGTTGGTACTGTTAGGGTAATGCGTTGTTTGGCTTAACTAAAACTAGATAGAGGGGGAATGAAAATGATGATAGCTTGGTTGAATCTTGTAATTTTCCAAATTAGTAGAATTTTTCTCATAAAGTTGGCTGCTCAAAACATGTAAGGATCCTCCTGTTTTGAGCAAAAGCTGGCTTTCTGAAACATAAATTCATAACATCTATAAATTGTTACCTTGTAAAAAAAGAACTATCGGCCTCTGCTTTTTCTCATACTTGTTATGATGATAAGTTAAACCTTTTGAAGTTGTGATTTTGGCAGTTATTTCCTGATTCATGTGTAAAATTTTGTTATACCAATTCCAAATCCAAAATTGTGTATTGTCATTTGAATGGTTGAGCATATTCAGTTATTGCTTGTCGATTTTGGGGTTTAATTGAATAAGAAAAAGCAAGGGAATAAAGTCTGGTCAATTTTTTAAGAAAGCTTGAAGAATGTAGTTTGGAAGACAGCTTGAAGATTGTGCTTCTCTTCATCCGCACTTATTCTAGTTATCTGAACCTGTGGTTTAAGTGTAAATGCTTCAAACTTTTTAAGGTAGTTTAAATTATTGAACAGATTTAAATAATGAAAAAGAATGTTTGTTTCCACTGCTATATGGTGTAAATACTGTATTTTTTTTTGTTGCTTCTGTTTAGAGAGATTCTGTGTTGTCTCTTTCTTGTAAATAGCAGTAAGAATGAAAGTGCGACAGTATCCTTTATCCTTCGATTTCTATCTACTTCAGTGTCTACTATCGGTTATATTTCTCTTGCAATTCAAGCTCATAGTTTGTAACCATATATGTGCCCTTAGTATATGAAGCACACAGTTAACATACTGTGATGACCTCTAAATTGCTAGTTGCTTCTTATTGCTTGTACTGAGAGCATTGGCTGAGGGGGGCGATTATTTCCTAGTGGCTGTCTCTGGTGCTCATGTAGTTGGTAAGCAGAACCTTGGGACATTATTATCTGCAGCTAACTCAAATTTGGGCAGAAATATTAATCTTTAACAAGTAGTCTGCTTGTCATTATATTCAGCTTCCTATGGTAGCCTGTCCTTGAGTAATTGTGATGTCTAGTATTCTAAATTTATTGTCAGTTGAGCCTTCTTCTTTGTTAATACGTGGATTTTGCTCTGATTTAATCAGGTAACTCCAGTCTAGACGGTGGTATAGTGTATTAAAGTAGCATAGAGGTTTTCTTATATTCAGTGTAAAGCTTCTGGAGCACGGGATTCGAAGAGGATGATAAGCTTCTCCCAGAAAGGTGTCCGTGGAAAAGAAGGTCAATCTTTCACTCCTTTGTTTGTGAATTGTTCATCTATGTGGAGCTCGGGTGAACAAGCAGAAAATTCTCCTTCTAAGAGTGTCCTGACTGGAGCGGAATCTGCATCGAAATGTCACTCCAATATCAAGCAATCAGAATCTCAGTATCAAGATCAGGATTCAACTTCTACTCTTTCAACTGGTCAATCTGATCACGTGGAGACTGCAATGGCAAAAAGCAGTACTCTTCTGCAAAATGTTGCGCTTTATCCAGGTATAAAATTTATGAACTCGAACATAATCTCTTCTTAAACTTCAATTCACATGGACAGTGTGCTCAAACGGTTAACAAATTGAGACCTCCTTAAGTTAGGAGCTTAGATGAATATATTCAATTTTGGGGTGATAATATCAGAATTTATTTAAATGATGTTCTTATCAATGTGATCCGTGATAGGCTTTAGCAGGTATATTAGCTTTTCATATTTGTGATAAAAATACTATATATGTACACTGACATCAATTACATGATGTTCTTCCGGATAGGTTGGGATAGAATTTATGAGGTGCAAGGAGAGAGTGGAACAAAAGCATCCCTATCAGGCAAAAGTGCCACCAACACTCTTCCTCAACCGCATGTGCACATTAATCATCCAATGGTCTGTAATCTTTACTTATTTTTCATCTGCTATGCAGATCGGTGCACTTTGATGTCAGTTTGTTATGTGCATTAACATTTTTTTCTCGCTGTTGCCACTCACTTGCTGGTGCATATAGTCACTATTAACCGCCGAAATTTATCTTCCCCACAACCCCCCCTTTTACTATTTATCTTCCACGACCCCTATTGTGATCCCGGAGGGGGGGGGGATGTGGAATGAAGTA